TATTTTTTGGACGAAGAGATGGAACACATCTAAATGGCGCAACATGCACAAGAAGTTAAAGAAATATACTACAGAATGATATTTTAGCTAAAGCTTTGGGAATTATATCTGTTTTTAATAAACAATATTGTTGAATTCTCACACCGGATATTTGTGAAGACATTGGCCTTGTTTGGTAAATGGTTGTTAGCTGTTGCTGGTAGCTGGTTGTGTCAGCTGTTTCGCAACAGCTGGTTGTGTTAGCTGTTTTGACCGACTGGTTATGTTGGCTGATTATAAATAACTGTTTGGTAAAATTGGCTCTTTCGAAATGGCTGATAGAGTGTAAATTGAACCAGCCAAATGAAGAAGTTGCTCCCTTTAGCTTCTTCCACAATCCATTTTTTCAGCTTTTCAAACTCAACAAGCTAATTTTAAAAGTCATTTACCAAACATCATTATTAGCTTCTTTGACTAATCAAACGGTTGAAATGGGTCAAACAAGCTAAAAGCTGGCTGATAAGCCATTTGCCAAACATACCCATTGAGTGCTATATTAAGATGTGAATATACCAGATTGATTTTTTAGAATAGAACCTCGAGTCTTAACATGGTACCAGAGCCGATCCACGGTGTTGGCCCCCTTATGAAAAATGATTGACATTATTATAACTCCAGATCGATCCATAGTGTGGGTCTCCATATGAAAAATGATTCACACGATTATAACGATTATTTCAGATCGGTGCATGAGGAGGGGTGTTGAATTCCTTTTGGGATATAACCTAAAACTAAAATAAATTGTTTCCCGATTAATATACTTATAATACTTCCTCCGTCTCTTTTTAGTTGCAACAGCCAACATTTCACGTTTGCCAACGCACAACTTTGACTGTCATTATATTTAATTCTGTATTAGTAAAAATAAAATAAAAATTAGATTATAAAACTTAGTAATGACTAATGAGACGAATTTAACAACATTTTTCAAAAAAAAATTAATTCACATACATTAATAAATAAAATGTAGTCAAAGTAAAGTACATGAATAGTGTATACATTCCAATGTTTCAATTAATGAGATAAGAAGGATAGTATGTAATAGTGTAATACCATATCACGAAGCGACCCGAACATGTAACCAGACCAAGAGTCAACCCAGAACCAAAGGGTCAGCCCGATCGATGGCCAATAGGTACCGGTCATTATTTACTAAAAACATTATACTCCATATATCATTATATTCACACACGCCTCAAGAGTATGTTTGTTGGTTAGTCGTGAATTATTGTGGAAGGTCAGGGTTCTAATCCGGCTGAGAGTTGATTTCTTCTTGAGGCGTGTTTGTGCAATTTTAAAGGTTTTGGCTGTTCCGGGTGTGGTCAGGGTCACCATGGGTCGACATGATTTTTGATTTTGGATATATTAGTGGCTTGAACCCCAACCAAGCCAGATTGGGCCCTTGGTCGCCCGATTCCGGGTTGAACCGATCGAACAGTGTAGTCTGATTCTTGTACCATAGCAAAAGAGTACACTAAGAACCAAATCTAATGTTTTGTTATTAAATTAGATGAATAATACTATCTTCATCCCTCTAAAGTTTTTTTTTTATTGAACAGTTTTTCTGATATATTCTGGTCGCGTTTAAACTAGTATATATTATATATGTGGAGATGTCTGCTATATAAAAGTATTTTACAATAATCAAAGTTTGTGTGTTGGATTTTATATTCTCAAAGCAATGATTAATACTTCGAACTAATTATTACTCCCTCCGTCCCGAAATAATTGTCCTACTTTGATCCTCACACATATTAAGAAAATGAAGTTGACTTCACATTGTAGCGACACTGTTTGGTATTGCATCGATATTGGTTGGTACTATAATAATACTTTCTGGCACTGTTTTGCACTGTTTGACACTGTTTTGTATAGATTTGTTTAACAAATAAAGAAAATTTCAAAGTAGGATAATTATTTTGAAACATCTATTTTGGGAAAGTAGGACATTTATTTCGGAACGTAGGGAGTAAAAATTAGTACAACCAATCAACATAAATAATGCAAGCTTTACTTTTTGTACACATTTTTTATATGCACCAGTACAGATGTATATGAAATGGTTATTCACAAATAAAAAATAATTTGTTCACAACGGATATACAAAAATGCGCATAAAACGACGATTTGGTTCTTAGTATTATTCACCCGCATGGTAGTTCAGTTGTTTCAGTGGTGGGAAATTTGGACCAAGTGACCAAGGTTCGAAACGCACACCGGCCGTGTGGAGGTCACAGAACCTGAAATAAGGCTGAACATCTGGTGCGCACGGGAAAAAGATCTACTATCATTGGGCCGACTGAGTCACCGTAATTAACATCCTCCCAAAAATCCTGTCGGGTCAGAGTATTGAGGGCTCCTAGGGTGGGAGATTCCACTTTTTGGACCAAGTTCTTAGTATTATTCTAAAATGAGAGAGAGCCAAGAGTGTTGCACACCTCTTTGTCGCATGAATTGAAGTTTCTATACTGTTCATACCATGTGTCATTAATTAACATGCCGGTGCTTATGATTGGTACAGCTTCATAATTACTTTTAAGTGTATCCAAATAATATTAATTACTCATTGACTGAATCATGAGATAATCATTCAACTATTCATCAATCCTATAAATGTGACATATGGCTAGAATTAAACAAAAACTAATATTGGTACACAGGTACACACTTTTACGTTGTGTGTGCAGACATTTTTTTATTTGTGCGGACAAAAAATGTCTGCACAGAAAGTATGTAAAAATGTGTATCCCAAAAAGTGTGTACTCTAAGTCTAACTTACTATAAAATTGGTAAAGAAAAGATGCAAACTCTTGTTGATCTCTGTAGGAAACATTGACTTCATAATAAACTTTAGAATTAAGACTAAGATAAACTCATTTAGTACGTAGTACACTTTAGTGTACATTTATAGTGACATTCAACAACTACATGTTGAGAAATTATAAATCAGTACCAATAGAAACGCAAAACTAATGTATTCCTAGATTTATGGCAATGTTTGCGCAAATAATTATACATTCCCTTTTGTTAAAAATGACAATATTTGATTGTGTAAGAGAAATAAACATTGCACACTACATACTCTTAAATCATCCTTAACAGGGATGGATTTAAGGAGGGTGCGGGGGGCGGTCGCCTCACTTTGGACTTTCAAATTTTTCTACTATATATGTAATATTTTCATAAAATTTTTGTACTTTAATTAAATATATATGTGTCCGCCCCCTTAACTTTTACTACGTAGTTTTCAAAATTAATATATAGCCATACATTGTGTAAATACTCCCTCCGTTCCTAAAAATTCTTCCCGGTTTGACTTGGCACGCTTATTAAGAAAGTGGAATAAAGTGGAAATGTATAGTTGTGGTTGTGTAAGAAAAAGGTAAAATGAATGTGAGCCACACAAATTGTCCAAAATGGGAAAGTGGGAATTATTTTTGGGAACAACCCAAAAAGGAAAGTGAGAAGTATTTTTGGGAACGGAGGGAGTACTTAATTTGAGAGTTAAAGATGAAACATCTAAAATAATTTACATAACTTACACAAATAAATAATAGAACAACTCATTGTTTAAGACTTAGGATACCTATTATATAAAAAATCATAGTTTTGAAATGTTTAATTATCTTTAATTAATTAATCAGATAATTAGTACTCGATTTGTAAAATATCAAATAATATTAAATACGAGAGACACTAGTTAAACAGTTTTTAGATCATGTGAAGTGAATTTAAAATTACACAATGTATTTACTTCTAACTTTTTAAAAGTAACTTATTTAATAGATAATAAAGTTTAACTTATTTCATAGATACTTTTAAAAGTTGAATTTTTAGCTGAAATTTGGTACGGGTAAACTGGACTTAAAGAAGAATATGTTCAAACCAAATCATCAAAAAATTCCACCGGGAACCTCCCCAAATGGCAACGGCCAGCTGGATACAGCCTCCTATAAAAGGGGTGATTTGCACTTTTTCGGATAGTTCGAGAGCTTAGTTGCACATTTTCCCTATAAGAATTAGCAATATAATATTATTCTAAAACTAATAATCTCAAACATAGTATTGTAATATTAGCAAAACTCCTCATAATTCACGAACATCATTTTTAGTAAACAAAATTTGCAATTCAAAAATCAATTCCTTGTCCCGATAAACTCTTTACAATTATTTAAAAAAGTTACTATTAGAGTTACTATTATAACAAAAAGTTATTTAAAAAACATTGGTGGTTGTGCACCTTTTAAACTCTTTATTTTCAAATAATTTGATAAAATGTTATATATCTTCTTTTATTTTCAAATAATTTTTCTTTGATTTGCTATTTCTTACGATTTAATGTATCAATACTTTTTTCTAAAGCAATTACAATTATAAAATCAAAGTTATTTTTCCATTGTCTAAACTTAGAATGTAATATATTTAAATGCATCATGTATGTACCTATGAATTCTTTTTGAACAAAAATTAGCCGCAAAGCCCTACACTCTTGGAAAAAATCGCCCTGTTACACTAGGGAAAAAAGTTTTGTTTTACTACACTAGCGGGGAAAAATTCACTCACTACACTAATGAAAAAATTTCACCCCCTGACTCGAAGTCCTGGGTAAAGAGGTCAAATTATACATTCCCTTTTGTTAAATACTCTTAAATATGAGGATAAAAATCGTAATAGTTTGATTTCTTCTCACATTAAAAAACATAAGGGATTTTCTACTAACTTTAACAAACACAAAAATCTTATGCGTCTAAAAGATACTGCGAAATATATCAACAGTACATATATCGAGCTCTAAAATAATGTGAAAGATAATGTCACCAATCATAACACCTCGCCTTCTTGATTGAGTTCGACTTGAGGTACACACTTTTGGTGTACACACTTTTTACACATGTCTGTGTAAAGTTTTTTTTATGTCTGTACAGACATAAAAAAACCTTACACAGACATGTGTAAAAAGTGTGTAAAACAAAAAGCGTGTACCTTTCGAATTTTTCTTCTTGATTTCGCATAAACAAAAAAAAACAAGAAAGCTTTTTCAATAGTACCAAAATACCCACGGTTTACTCTTCTAATAACACTAACTAACCAAAAACACCAAAAAGATCATATATAGCTTTAAAAGACTAGACTAGATAGTTACGAGAAAAACGTGGGTATTTTGGACAAATGAAGCATAAGCTAATAAACTAACTCAGGAAACCGAAAATAATAACCCAAAAAATGGAGAAAAAAAGACAGCTAACAATAATTGCCCCCTACTAGTTGTGAAGGGGATCTGGACAACTGGGAACTCTTCTTACGCTCTCCCAAAACGACGTCGTCGCATTGCTGCCATCTCTCGGCCCTTGAGAAGGAACAGATCTCGAATTCCTCAAGTATGTCCGACTAAGCTCCGTTTCGGCCACCGGAGTTGGCGGAAATATCCGTATTGCCACCGCCCGGCTACGGCCGTGAAGCGCCGGGATGACGATCAGCACAATAACAAAAACAGCAGCCCACACGGCGGCGGTAGCCGTCCATTGCCGTCCGGCGGGATATGGTGATGACATGGCCGTGGCGGCAGGACGAGCTGGGGTCCACCAACATAAAGCTTTGCCCTGTTTCTGCTCCCTTCCTTCGCGAAGTGTTTTGAGCCCAATCTCTTTCTCTCTTAGAGGTTCAGGGTTCGTCAGGCGTGCAGGAACGGAGTATGTATGTATATGAAGGGTGGCTGAAGCTTTGAAGGAGAAGTGACGGCTCTTTGGTCTGTATAGAGAGTTTGTGGGGGCGATACAGATATACGTCAAATCCCACACGGGAAGTGCTATTCAATATAATGATGTTTTATTTATATACGGAGTAGTTGGATAGGTGTGACAAAACAAAATGTATATTTGGAGTAGTTATTAATAGAGATGGCAATTGTGATCGAATCGATGGATACCCGTACTGAATCGCCCTGTCAAAATGGGGAAAACCGCATTGACCGGGAAATGGGTACGGGGCGGGGAATCCTCGTTTTATTTTTACGGGTAATGGGGCGGTTACGGTTTTATACATACCCGCCTCATTACCCGCCCCGTTTATTTGTAGATATATTTTTATTATATTTGTATCTATTATTTGTCTAACAACTATTAAAAGATGAGTTTTTTTTTCTTTCCATTGTGTATATATAGATAATAGATGTACCAACTATAATGTATGAATGAAAGTTCCTATTAGATTTTAATAGTCTTGTTTGATTATTACCATATTTTTTTGTGATTAATCATTTTTTAGATCAAGTATTTTTAGTTTCAAATTAATTTAAGTTACTTTCTTTCTCGTCTTGTAGATATACGAATCTTTAAATGGACATCTGAAGTGTAGAGTCGTCCAGGCGATGTCATTCTTCGCCTTTTAAAATATTATTTTCATATCAAAATTTTATGACTCAATTAATAAAGCGGTTACCCGCGGTTACCCGCGGTTACCCGAAATTTTACCCATTACCCGTTGGGGCGGTTATGGTTTGGGTAAAAATTACCCGTTGGGTAATGGGGCGGTTACGGGGCGGGGAAATTACCCAACGGGGCGGTTATGGTTATATGTAAAACCGTCCCCGATCCACCCCGTTGCCATCCCTAGTTATTAATGCTTGGTAGATTCTATCCTACCTACTACCTCCGTTCTTAAATAAATGCAACACTTTGACTTTGACACTATTCACATGTTCTACTTTGACTACGTTTTATTTATTAATGTTATAATATTATTTTATGAAAAAATATTGTTAAACTTGTCTCATTGTAAATTTTCATAATCTATTTTTTTTTAATTTTTTTACTAATACAAAATCATTTATATTAATGGTCAAAGTTGTGTCTCGGCAAGTGTGAAATGTTGATCGTTGCATTTATTTAAAAACGGAGGAAGTATAAGGTAGTAAGGTACCACGTCTAAACTGAAGTTTTAAGTAAGAAAGGTGAGAGCCGGTAATTATTTTTTTGAATGGAAATAATTTATAATTTATATTAACACCGCCATGAGATCATTTTTTGGTATCATGCATGTCCCAATCTAAGATGAAGGAGGAGGGTGCTGTGGTAGGCGTGTGACGGCCAACAGTATCACTTAGTCACATCAAATGACATGAATCAAAATATGAATATCGCTACAGCTAGGTCGTCGCCCGTAAGCGACGCGTCATCCCTCAGCCTGGGGGTGGTGTCAAATGAGCAAGGGCGCGCTACACTTCATAGGCCTGGGTGTGGTGATAAGAATGCTAAGGCTGCTAGGTCGTCGCCCGGAAGCGATGCACCACTCCAATGCCCGGGGATGGTGTCAAATATGCAAGGGCATGGTGGGGGTCGATGTGGGGTGAAGAAGAGAAGGCAGAGTGTTAGATTGCGCTTTGGGACATGGAATGTTGGCTCTCTTATGGGAAGATCATCTGAGATAGCCAAGGTTATGAAGAGGAGGAATATCAGCATAATGTGCATGCAAGAAACTAAGTGGGTTGGAGAAAGACACACGAGATTAATCCCGGAGGTTTTAAGCTTTGGTAATCGGGGAGAGAGAGGAACAGAAATGGAGTAGGCATTATGGTGGCACATGATTATGTTGACGGTGTGGTTGAAGTGTTTAGGAAGAACGATCGCATCATGAGCATTAAGTTGATAATAGGGATGAAATCGTGTCAGTGGTTAGTGCCTATGCACCACAAGTGGGATTAGATGCATCTATCACTCAACAATTTTGGGAGGATCTTGAGGAAGTGGTGCGATGAGTGCCAAGGGGAGAGAAACTGGTCATAGGAGGCGACCTCAACAGGCATGTGAGCCCAAGTCGTGATGGTTTTGAGAGTGTCCATGGCGGACATGGTTTTGGCACTAGAAATGAAGCGGGGAAGAACATTCTGGATTTTGCCTCGACATATGAGTTGGCTGTGATGAACACTTGGTTCAAGAAAAGAGACTCTCACTTTGTCACCTATAGAAGTGGAGCTAATAGTAGTATAGTACCCAAATTGACTACTTTTTAGTACGGATGACTTGGAGAAGTAGCTACACTGATTGTAAGGTTATCCCAGGTGAGAGTGCTGTCACTCAACGACATAGGATGCTTGTGCTTGATTTTCGAGGTAAAAAGAGGGAACGAGTTAAGGTACAAGGGGAGCCAAAGATAAAATGGTGGAGGCTCGAGGGGAATCTCCAACAAAGTTTTGCACACAAAATGTTGGAGGAAGATGTTTGGTCTATTGATAATGATGCACACGTGGATGATGTGTGGTTATTAATGAAGTCCACCATTAACAAAGTGGCGAAGGTGATACTCGGAAAATCTAAAGAATGTCTGCCACCAAAAAAGGACACATCTTGGTGGAATGATGAGGTGAAACAAGCAATAAGGGCCAAAAGAGAATGCTATAAGAAATTGGGAAAAAGTTGGAGCGACGAGAACATAGAGGAGTACAAAGAGGCTAGAAGAAGAGCAATGAAAGCTGTGAAGGAAGCCAAACGAAAAGTGAATAAGGAATTGTATGTAAAGTTGGATTCTAAGGAAGGAGAAAAAGATATCTACATAGTTGCTCGACTTCGTGACCGTAGGACTGAAGATATCGAAAAAGTTAAGTGTGTGAAGGATGTCGATCAAAGGGTACTAATGGACGACGAAGAAATAAAAGAGAGGTGGAGGTCATACTTTGATACTTTGTTCAACGGGAATAAAGTCTAAGGTATTGATGATCGTACTATACCAGAGTGTATGGTAAATAGGGACTTCATGAGAAGGATTCAAACAACAGAAGTTAAAGAGGCAATGAGAAAAATGGGTCGGAAGAAAGCAGTGGGCCCAGATGGCATACCGATTGAGGCTTGGAGAAGTTTGGGAGAGAAAGGCATCGAGTGGCTAACACGTTTCTTCAACATGATTTGGAGAAACAACAAAATGCCAGTGAGTTGGCGGAAGAGTACTCTCATTCCCTTATTTAAAAATAAGGGTGATGTACAAGAATGTGCTAACTATCAAGGGATTAAGCTTATGAGTCACACCATGATACTTTGGGAGCGAGTGGTTGAGCAAAGACTACGTAAAAGTGTGAAAATTTCGGAGAATCAATTTGGTTTTATGCCTGGACGCTCAACAACTGAGGCCATTCACCTTCTTAGACAAGTTGTGGAGAAGTATAGAGACACTAAAAAGGATCTGCATTTGGTGTTCATTGACTTAGAAAAGGCATATGATAGGGTACCTCGAGAAGTTCTTTGGTGGACCTTAACTAGAAAAGGTGTATCACGTAAGTATATCAGCATCATCATGGATATGTATGATGCTTGTACTACAAGTGTCCGCACTAGTGTAGGGAGGACCGCAGAGTTCCCTATTACTATTGGAGTGCACCAAGGATCTATTCTGTGTCCTTTCTTATTTGCTTTAGTCATGGATGAACTTACGAAGTCAATTCAAGAAGATATACCGTGGTGCATGATGTTTGCCGATGATATTGTATTGATTGATGAGACACAATCCGGTGTTAAAGCAAAGTTGGAAGTATGACGACAAACATTGGAGAGCAAGGGTTTCAAACTGAGCCAAAGCAAGATTGAGTATATGGAGTGCAAGTTCGGTGGAGGTAGAAGCAGTAGCAACAGTGGGATTACTCTTGATGGTAAGGAGATACCGGTGTGTGATATGTTCTGTTACTTGGGATCCATAATTCAGAAGGATGGTGAATTAGATGGAGATGTATGTCATAGAATCAGAGCTGGGTGGATGAAATGGAAAAGTGCTTCAGGATTTCTATGCGATCGAGGTATGCCGACTAAACTGAAAGGTAAATTTTATCGTACAGCAATTAGGCTGGGATTAATGTATGGCGTAGAGTGTTGGGTGGTGAAGCAACGCCCCATTCAAAAGATGAGTATGACAGAGATGCGTATGTTGCGTTGGATGTGTGGACATACCAGAAAAGACCGCCTGAGGAATGAGGTAATCAGACAAAAGGTGGGAGTAGCACCTATAGAAGATAAGATGCAGGAGTCTCGTTTGCGGTGGTTTGGGCATGTGCATAGAAGACCGAGTGATGCACCTGTTAGATGACTTGAGGGGTGGGGAGAAGTGTCAGAGAAGAGAGGGAGGGGAAGACCCAAACAGACTTGGATTAGAGTAATCAAAACTGATATGCATCTTCTTGGGTTGGATGAGAGTATGACTTTGGAGAGAGCAAAGTGGAGGACGCACATCCATGTGGACGATTGATGTCTTGTCTACCTTTCCTCTCTTGTTTCTTTAATAGTTTATCTTCCTTATCTTTTTATATTCTTATGTTTTTTTTTATCTTCTAGCTTTTTATGCTTTATTATTTATTATTCTTTTATCTTGGTTATATTCTTGTGTTATTGTTATCTTATATTTATGTATCTTTATTTTATTCATTTTATCTTACTTTTTTTCCTTTTCTTGTCCGCCTTCTCTTTTTGGCATCGATATCATAGATCGATTCATGTTAGCCGACCCCAAATTCTTTTGGGATTAAGGCTTGGATGTTGTTGTGGAAATAATTTATATTAAAATAATAATCAAACGACATTACAATAGACTCAAGATCATACCAAACCCAGATATAAGCCCAATGATCAGACTTTGACTCTACTACCTACAAACGAATGACGAATCGCATAAGTCGCTAACCATGTAATGGACAAACTGAATCTTAACATCACCATATGGTCGTGTTTGGTTTGAGGTAATATCCCATACAGGGTGGAATCTGATGCCCGTGCTGTAAGATTCTAGTGTTTGGTTCGCGGGCTTGGTTTTTTTTAGA